TTTCTATTCCCAAACCATCAGCTTGAAGCAGGACCCATTCCCAGGACAATCAATTGCTACCTGAAGGGCTTGGTGAAATTTGGGACATACAGCATTGAATCACTGACTAAGACAACTTTCAGGGTCTGAAAAGATGTTTGATGCTTTTCTGACCACAGTACCTTGGTGTGCTTCTCTAATAGTGGCATTGTAACCAGATGAGTAATCTAGAACCCCAGGATGAACTTCTGGTACATTGGTTCAAATCTTGCCATGGCAGATGCTGAAATATCAATTCAATCAAAAAATGTTGAAGTTAAAAACTAGCCCAGTGATGACCATTTAACCAATGTTGGCTATCATACAATCCAACTGAAGTTACATCCTTCATGTTTTGAATCCTCACAGGGTCACAGATATCTCTGTGATGTTCAACATTCAATGGATGGCTGCTCTCGCCGCATCTGGAGATCCACACTCAGTGCCATGCAGTGTCACATGCACACTCTCAACCTTTCTCTCCAACAGCACCACAACACACTGGCTCAGGGCTGCACCAATCCGCAGTTCCACTTCATCCTCCGGCTCATTTGTCACGCTAACAAAAAACTTTTTCTTTTCCTTTCAGGCATCAAGGCCCACAAGTTGCAACAACTCAAAGATACCCATGGCCCTCTGGAACCTTCCTCTCCTCCCCTTCTCTCTGACTCCATCCCCTCTCCCAGCTCCACCTCCTGTCGAGTATTCACCATCCCTCCTAACCTTCTGCCCTCCGATGCTGAACGTTCTGTACTCAGCAAAGGCCTCAGCTTTATTCCTCTGTGTTCCTACCTTAATGAATTTCGGGCACAACATGACATTGAACTCTTCTTGCACCGTCTTTGCCTCTGTGCTCATTTCTTTGGACAAGAGAGCTCTTCCCGTCCCACAGACCCCTTTGCCCAGTTCCAACACTCTGCCTCCACCTGGACACCGCCCTCTGGCCTTTTACCTGCACTCGATCTGTTCATTGAGAACTGTCGACATGATATTAGTCGCCTCAATTTCTCTGTCCCCCTCACCAAATCCAACCTATCTCCCTCCGAACTGACTGCACTTTGTGCACTCAGATTTAACCCTGACTTTGTTACTAAGCCTGATAAGGGTGGTGCCGTTGTAGTCTGGTGTACTGACCTCTACCTTGCAGAGGCTGAGCGCCAACTCTCTGATTTCTCCTCCTACCTTCCCCTGGACCATGACACCTCCAAGACAGATCAAGTCATTGTACCTCCTACGGTAACTGATCTCATTTCATCAGGTGATCTCCCACCCTCTGCTTCTAAGCTGATAGTCCCCCAGCCCCGCACAGCTGGTTTCTATCTCCTCCCAAAAATCCACAAACAGGACTGTCCTGGCAGACCCTTGTTTCAGCCTGCTCCTGCCCCACAGAACTCATCTTCTCCTACCTTGACTCAGTTTTCTTTTTCCTGGACCAATCCCTGTCCACGTACATCCACGATTCCTACGACGCCTTACGCCGGTTTCAAAACTTCCAGTTTGCTGGTTCTAGCCACCTTCTCTTTACCATGGATGGGCAATGCGTTTACACGTCCATTCCCCACCAGGAGGGTCTTAGGGCTCTCCACTTCTTCCTGGAGCAAGATCTGAACCATCCCCACCCACCACCACACTCCTCCGCTTGGCCGAGCTCGTCCTCACCCTCAACAGCTTCTCTTTTAACTCCTCTCATTTTCTTCAGGTAAGAGGGGTTGGCCACGGGTATCTGTATGGGCTCTAGTTATGCCTGTCTCTTCATGGAGTACATGGAACATTCCTTGTTCCAGTCCTATTCCGGACCCACAACTCTTTCTCCGATACATTGATGGTATCATCGGTGCTGCTTCCCTCTCTTGTCTGGAATTGCAAAACTTCATCAACTTCGCTTCCAATTTCCAAATTGCGCTCACTTACACCTGGTCGATCTCTGACTCCTCCCTTCCCTTCCTTGACATTTCTGTTTCTATTTCCAGGGATAGACTGGCCAGTAATATCCATTACAAACCCACTGACTCCCGCAGCTGCCTGGACTATACATCCTCACACCCTGCTTCCTGTAAAGACTCCATCCCATTCTCTCACTTCCTCCGTCTCCGTCGCACGTGTTCAGATGAGTCCACCTTCGACAAGAGAGCCTCTGAAATGTCCAACTTCTTCCTCAACAGAGGATTCCCCAGCTCTGTTGTCGACAGGGCCCTGAACCGGGTCCGACCAATCTCCCACACTTCCGCACTCACCCCTTCTCTTCCCTCCCACAACAGTGACAGCGTTCCCCTTATCCTTATCTACCTTCCCACCAGCATCCACATCCAGAAGATCATTAGATGCCATTTCTGCCAACTCCAGCGAGATGCAAACACCAGGCACATATTCCCCTCCCCTCCCTTGTCCACCTTCCGTAGGGACCGTTCCCTCCGGGACATCCTGGTCCACACTTCCTTCACCCCCAACATATCCCCACAGCCCTACGGTACCTTACCCTGTAACTGGCAAAGGTGCAACACCTACCCATTTAGCTCCTCCCTCCCCACTATCCAAGGGCCCAAACATACCTTCTATGTGAAGCAACACTTCACGTGCACTTCCCAGAATCTGGTCTACTGCAGTCGCTGCTCACAATGTGGTCTCCTCTACACTGGGGAAACGAAGTGTAGACTGGTTGACCACTTCGCAGAACATCTACGTTCTGATCGCAAAAAAGACCCTGAACTACCTGTTGCCTGCCACTTTAATGCACCAGAGATAGTAGGAACTGCAGATGCTGGAGAATCCGAGACAACAAGGTGCAGGGCTGGATGAACACAGCAGGCCAAGCAGCATCATAGGAGCAGAAAGGCTGACGTTTCGGGCCTAGGCCCTTCATCAGAACAGAAAAAAACTTTAATGCACCACCCTGTTTCCTGGCCAACATCTCTGTCTCAGGCTTGCTGCAGTGTTCCAACGAACCTCAACGCAAGCTGGAGGAAAAACACCTCATTTTCCACTTGGCGACCTGACAGCCCTCCTGACTCAATATCGAGTTCAATAATTTTAGGGCCTAATCTCTCCTATGTCCCAGCCCCCTACCCCACACACCAGGCCTTGTTACCACATAGCCTGCCATCACGCACCACCTGTTGCTAATCACTAATAGTCCCCATTAACAACTATTCACCCTCCCAGCCTGATTGTTATCAACTCTGTCTATCCAACTGCTCTTCTTTCTCTTTAGGCTCTATCCTATCGTTTACTCCCTACCCCGTCCCCCTCACTTTTTTCTGCATATAAACTGACGTTTTCCCAGCCACCATCAGTTCTGAGAAAGGGTCACCGGGCCCAAAATGTTAACTCTGTTTTTTCCTTCACAGATGCTGTCAGACCTGCTGAGCTTTTCCAGCAACTTTGTTTTTGTACAATTCTATCTGGCTC